AAAAAAAAAAAAAAAAAGGATGGGGCTTAACAAAGAGTCATTAGCACACTTATGATTTATTTTTTAACAAGAAAGGAAACTTTAAAAGGGAACTTTTCTACTTCCCACAAGGAGGTAAATGGGTAAGAGCCCCATCTACTGGCTGTAAGAACTTAGGGAGATGTGTAAAAACAAGACAACCTCAACAACGAAAGCAACCATCCCTACCTGATAGAATGGCTATAAGGATTAAAAGAGGTTAATTTGCACAGGATTTGGCCTTGTGCTTCAACAGATATCAGTAGCTGGTGGTGATGGCGTTTCTATTATCCAAAGCAAGTCAGCAGCTCTAATCTTAAACTTGCAAAGCCTGCTCTGAATGTAAAGGCCCCCCCGTCTGAACGGGCGTCTGTTACTCCTCTAGCATGCCTCTTGGAAGCTCATTCCCCCCCATAATTCCTTGTAAACACCCCAGGCACTCTCCCAGAGAGGAATTCTTTTCTTTTCTTTTTTTTTTTTTTTTTGAGACGGAGTCTCGCTCAGTCGCCCAGTCTGGAGTGTGGTGGTGCAATCTTGGCTCATTGCAATCTCCGCCTCCAGGGTTCAAGAAATTCTCCTGTCTCAGCCTCCCGAGTAACTGGGATGACAGGTGTGCGCCACCACATCTGGCTAATTTTTTGTATTTTTAGTAGAGACGGGGCTTCACCATGTTGGCCAGGCTGGTCTTGAACTCCTGAGCTCAAGCGATCCTCCCGCCTCTGCCTCCCAAAATGCTTGGATTACAGGCGTGAGCCACTGTGCCTGGCCCAGACAGGAATTCTTGGAAATAGGATTGTCTCCATCCTGTTACTCTTCTGCCGCGATTGGGGCCCTCCTGAACATCTGCAGGATATGGACATCGCGATGGCTCAGTGACTGGACTAAATAATTGCTGAGAAGGTTTTTTTTCTGGCTTGAAGGCTCCAAACCATTACAAGCCAGGGCGCCCTTTCCCTGTGTTGCAGGCCTGTCATCCTGGATCCCGCCGACCCCACCCACAATGTAGCAGAAGGGTACAGATGGGACATCGTCGCTCAGAGGGCCTCCCAGTGCCTGAAACAGGATTGCTGCTATGATGACAGGGAGAACCCCATCCCCAGCTGGAACGTGAAGGTAACGGCTCCTCTCTGGGCAGTCAAGGGCTGGAAGCTGAGAATGGCAGATAACTACTCAGCAT